GAAAAGGCAGACACAACAGGCACCAGGGGTTCACACTCGTAATCCTAGCTACTCAGCAGGCTCAGATCTAAGGATCCAGGTTTAGAGACTACTGGGAAGATAAATCTTCGAGACTCTTTTCTCCAGTGATGCACCAAAAAGCTAGAAATGGAGCTATGGCTCAAGTGATAGAGTATTAGCCTTGAGCAAAAAAGCTCAGGGATAGTACCCAAGCCCTGAGTTCAAGCCCCAAGACCAGCACAAGACCAGCAGATAAATTTGAGATATTGGTTCTAGCCCTAAAATACATTACTTGCAGCTGGGTTAGGTATAGAGGATAAATACGAAGAAGGAATAAGAGGATTTCCACATTCCTTACTTGACCAACAAGGAAGAAAGATGTGTGACCACAGAAGGGTGAGAGAAAGGTTTTGACAGAAAGTTTGTTTTGCCTATGAAATTTTAAAGATGGTCCGTAGGTAATTGAGGATGTTAAGCTCTTAAGAGGTCAGACCAAAAATGCAAATGTGAGAATTGCTTGGGAATTATTTTACTTATATACATCTATCTGATAAGATCAAGATAAGAGTATAGAAAAGATGACCAGGGGGGCTGGGAAGATGGCTCATTGGTAGAGCGCTTGCCTTGCATGCCTCTGAGGCCCTGGGTTCCATTCCTCAGCACCACATAAGCAAAAAGAAAAAAGCCAGAAGTAGCACTGTGACTCAAGTGGTAGAGCACTAGCCTTGAGCTGAAGAGCTGAGGGACAGCACCCAGGCCCAGAGTTCAGGCCCCACGACCAGACCCCAAAAAAAAAAAAGAAAAGATGATCAGGGGCTGGGAAGGTGGCTCAGTGGTAGAGTGCTTGCCTTGCATGCGTGAGGCCCTATGTTGGATTCCTCAGCACCACATAAACAGAAAGAGCCTGTGCTGTGGCTCAAGTGGTAGAGTGCTAGCCTTGAGCTGAAGAGCTGAGGGACCGCGCCCAGGCCCAGAGTTCAGGTTCATGACTGGCAAAAAAAAGAAAGGAAAGAAAGGAAGAAAGAAAGAAAAGAAAGAAAGGAAGGAAGGAAGGAAAGAAAGAAAGAGAAAAGCTAATCAGGCACAGAGCTGAGGCATTTCCAAGATAGGAAAGCTAGTGTTGCAAGACAAACAAGTAACAAGGGAGACTGCTGTAACAGCCAAGAGAAAGAAAATCAGAAGAGTGCTTTATTGTGGAAAGTCTTCAAACAGGAGGAATAGTCATCCAGTATGAATCTTTGTTTTAAGATGAGAGCTACCTACATAGTACAGACATACATAGTATGTTTGAAAAATTGCCATCAGTAAGGTGGAGGCATGGCTCAATGTTATAGCTATATAGTTATATACCTAGTAGGCAATTATTTTTGGTGGTAATTGAACTGAGGTGAATTACCAAAAAAAAATTGGCATTAGCAAACATGGTATAATAGCTCTATCCCTTAAAAAAATAAAAAGAAGCTGGGAGCCGGTGGCTCACGCCTATAATCCTAGCTACTCAGGAGGCTGAGATCTGAGGATCATGGTTCAAAGCCAGCCTGGGCAGGAAAGTCTGTGAGACTCTTATCACCAATAAACCACCAGAAAACCAGAAGTGGTGCTGTGGCTCAAGAGATAGAGAGCTTTCCTTGAGCTGAAGAGCTAAGGGGCAGCACCCAGGCTCAGAGTTCAAGCCCCATGACCAACTAAATAAACAAATAAATAAATACAAGATGAGAGTAAAAGATATACAACTGTAATCCTAGCATTTTAGCACTTGGGTGGCAGAGGCAGGTGAATCATGAGTTCCTAGACCCTTGTCTAAGGGGGAAAAAAAGACTTTTATTGAATTGGGTGCTGGTCGCTCATACTTATAAATCCTAACTATTCAGAAGGCTGAGATCTGATTATCAAAACTACCCAAAGAAGAAAAGTCTATGATACTCTTATCTCCAGTGAACCAGCAAAAAGCCACAAGTGGAGATATAACTCAAGGGTTGGAGCAGCAGCCTTGAGTGGAAAAAGTAAGGAGAACATTACGCCCTGAGTTCAAACACCACTACCACCAGGAATAAATAAATTCTCTATATAATATCTCCTCCAGCTACTGCTTTTTTTCTCTGCATACTGTCATGTAAAAGTCCTCATGAAGGAATAATTACCTGCCTCTTTCCTCTGTCTTCTTTTTACTCCATTTAGGCTTTCTCATCCTTACTCAACTGAAACTACTCTAGCTGGCACTGTAGCAAGATAATCCTGTTCCCTCTCTTGGCAGGATTTGATTGAGTTGATTACTCCCTCCTTGAAAAACTGCTGAACAGTCCTCTCCACAGAATATGAGCTTTTTATTGCTGGTCTGCCTGAGCACTTCTCTGTTCCTAATATCACAATAGTGCCTGATATACAGGTACTATTTTGTAAATTTTATTGGACAAATTCTGATAAAAAGTTGAATCAGATGAGGATAGGAATATTGCCAGTAGATTTGGCAGTGTGCATTTTTTTGGTACGTTTTTATTGTAAAAATGCTATATATATATATATATATATATATTTTTTTTTTTTTTTTTTTTTGGTGGTCTTGCTTACAAGTTTCAGTAGAGCACTAAAGATGAGAATCAGAGCAGAATGATAAAGGAAAACCTGGAGGTAAGGAATTTAAGGGGAGAAAATTAGGCAACTGTTGTGAGAATTTAGCCAAGAAGAGAAACATAGGGCTGCAGTGACAGAATGTAAGTGAAGTCAAGAAGATGTCTTTGGAGTGATAGTAATGGATGCACTCCAGAGCTCATTATGGAAGAATTAACTTTTATATGAGAGCAACGTATCTGCCTAAATGGGGAAGATAGTTTTAAACTCAGACTGGTTGTGTAAGTTTGTCATGGTGTAAGATTGTGACCTGACCTACCTAGTGAGCTGCATAAGAAATGAGGCTAGGTACCTAGTGGAAAGGGAGCCAGGTTCTGTGGAATGGAGCTTGTCTTTTTTCAAACTAGCCTTGTTTATAGTTGGGTTCCTGGCAGAAGATGGCTGAGGAGTAGGATATGGGAAGAGGTGGAAGGAAACGGAGCAGTTTTGGATATATGGTGTCTAAGGCTCTTGTTTTTTGTTGTTTTTTTTTTAATATTTTATTGTAAAGATACTATACAGAGGGTTACAGTCACATGAGCAAGGTAATGAGTACACTTCCCATTGAGCATTGTTACCCCCCCTCCATTGTTTTTCCCCTACCATCCCTTCCCTCCCTACTTTCCCCGAGGTTCTTTTTTTTTTAATTGTGATTAAGTGATTACATAATTTCCCAAATTTCACAGTATTGTGGAATAATGATGCTCATTTAAAGTCACAAGTTCATTCTAACTTTCCTGGAACAAATTGTCTATCACAGTCTATAACATATAACAGTGTACACATATACACCATACATGTGATCAGCAGCATGGGGATATTTAGTAGTGGTTTGACCAGATGAGTGGGAGTTCTTTGTTTCTTAAGTCCTGTTAATTTTGTCGTATCACCTAACATTTTGGATTTAGCATCCACTTATCAGGGAGACCATGTACCGTTTGTCTCTTTGCTCTTGGCTTACCTCGCTCAACATGATTCCTTCTAGCTCCATCCATTTCCCTACAAATGCCATTATTTTGTCATTTCTAATGGCTGCATAATATTCCATTGTGTATAGATACCACAATTTTTGGATCCATTCATCTGTGGTGGGGCATCTGGGTTGTTTCCATATCCTAGCTATTGTGAACAGTGCTGCAATAAACATGGAGGTGCATGTGTCCTTGTATATTGGTTCCTGTTGTTCAGGGTAGATAGATGTAAGGCTCTTGTTTTTAAAACTTTTTTTTCTTCTCCCATCTTCCTCTAGAGGAAGCCAAATGAGGTTGAAAGAATAGCATTGTCCTGCATAACAAACCTGCCATCACAGTTTGCTATGTTTGTGCATCCATATATTTGAGTTTTTTGTTTTTTTGTTTTTTTGTCAGTCATGGGGCTTGAACTCTGGGCCTGGGCACTGTCCCTCAGCTCTTCAGCTCAAGGCGAGCACTCTACCACTTGAGCTACAGCGCCACTTCCGGTTTTCTGGTGGTTTATTGGAGATAGGATTCTCACAGTCTCTCCTGCCCGGGCTGGCTTTGAACCGTGATCCTCAGATCTCAGCCTCCTGAGAGCTAGGATTACAGGCGTGAGCCACCAGTGCCCGGCTGAACTTTTTCTTTTTCTTTTTCTTTTTTTTTGGGGGGGGGGGGGGTCCAGTTGTGGGGCCTGAACTCTGGGCCTGGGCGCTGTCCCTCAGCTCCTCAGCTCAAGGCTAGCACTCTACCACTTGAGCCACAGCGCCACTCCTGGCTTTTTTTTTTTGCTTATGTGGTGCTGAGGAATCGAACCCAGAGCCTCATGCATTGCAAGGCAAGCGCTCTACCACTGAGCCACCTTCCCAGCCCCTATTTGAGTATTTTTTGTGTGCCCAAGTAATATAGCTATAATGAAAGTCTCTGCCTTCAAAGAAAAAAATTTTTTAACGAGTCCTGGGGTTTGAACTCAAGTCCTGGGCACTGTCTCTAAGCTTCTTTTGCTCAAGGATAGCATTCTACCATTTGAGCCACAGTGCTACTTCTGGCTTTTTCTGTTTATGTGGTACTGAGGAGTCGAACCCAGGGCTTCATACATGCTAGTCAAGCACTCTACCACTAAGCCACATTCCCAGCCCCAAGAACTTTTATTCTAATGCAAGAGATGTTGGTCCCTTTCTTCTTCCCCTACCTCTCACCCTACCTATTAGCCCTAAGGTAAAAGGGAAGTGCTTTTTCCTTGCATACTCCTCTCTCACTCTCCTTTGTTCTTAGTCTTACTCTGTGCGTGTGTGTGTGTGTGTGTGTGTGTGTTCCATAACTTGACATCAACAAAAGCATTAACCAAGCCCTTCTTTTTCACCAGTGAGTTTCTCTCATCATCCATCTTGAGCCTTCCATTGCACAGCATAGTAATGACTTATCTTTTCTTGATTTCAGATGAGACTCCAATTATCGCAGTGATGGTGGCCCTGTCCTCTCTGCTAGTGATCGTGTTTATTATCATAGTTTTATACATGTTAAGGTAAGTGTACTGTTTCTATATTAGACTTTCTTCTTTTTTTTTTTTTAAATTTTATTTTATTTTATTTGAGAACATACTGTACAGAGGGGTTACAATTACATGGGCAGGATAATGCATACATTTCTTACCAAGCATTGCAGCCTCCTCCTTTGTTTACCCTTCACCTCCCTTCCCAGCCTCCCCCCTCCCTCCCACCCAATCATACCCCCCCACCACCCCCCCCCACCGACATTGTAAAGCTGGTTTTGACATGACATTTTGTACTTCTCATTGTTGCAACAGGTCCACCTGAATCCTTAAACGACTTGTTTGTCCCCATCTCCTCCACATGTTATACTGACATCAAATATAGTGAAAGCGGGGGTTACACTGTGGGGGAGGGACATACAAAGCAACAAAGAAATAATCTTATAAATGCGTTAGAAACACATGCATGAAAGAAACAAAAACATTAAAATACATATTTGAGGTTTCGTTTTCCTAACATCACATTATCTGACTTTTTCCGCTTGACTCATACCTATACTAGATATTGCAAATAAGGGAAACCATGGGACCTATGTTTCTTTGGGCCTGGCTTACTTCACTTAATATAATTTTTTCCAAGCCTTTCCATTTCCTAACAAATGGGGAAATGTCTTTCTTTCTGATGGAGGCATAGAATTCCATTGTGTATATATACCACATCTTCTTGATCCATTCATCTACTGTAGACTTTCTTCTAATACCCTAGTGTCTCAGTAAATTTACCCATACGGTCCAGAAGACTAGAAGATAAGAACAATAAGTAGATACATTCATGATACTGGTAAGATTAAAATTTTGTTTAGGGGGGCTAGGAAGATGGCTCAGTGGTAGAGCACTTGCCTTGCATGCCTGAGGCCCTGAGTTCAATTCCTCAGCACCACATAAACAAAATGAAAAAAGCCGGAAGCGGCGCTGTGGCTCAAGTGGTAGAGAGCTCTAGCCTTGAGCTGAAGAGCTGAGGGACAGCGCCCAGGCCCAGAGTTCAGGCCCCACAATCGGACCCAAAAAAAAAAAAAAAAAAAAAAAATTCTAAAATTTTGTTTAGAACTGGCTGAAACGTTCTAAATAGTCCCACTTAAGCTTTAGCCTCTCCTTTGTTTCCATCTTTCCAAACCAAATCTCAGTTCAGTTCAACCTAAAGCCCAAAATGATAGTTCAGAGGTTGGGGGAACAAACCACAACCATTGTTCAAGATCTTCAGCTTTAGCCCTTTGGAAATAATCCCTAAAAGAGCCCTAGTAAGATTACATGCACAACAAAAGCCTATTTTATGTCTAGTTGAGGTTTGACCCCAGACTTCTCTAAAACTGCTGGCCCTGGCATGCTGAGCTAAGTGAAGGGCATTACAGGGTTCATCTCTAGACAATAATCCTCCAACAGTGAACAGGAACAAGGAGGACGGATATCCAAGGAAGAGAAGATGGTAGTGCATTTGTCATCTTCCTGCTAAAGCTACTACCTTGATGACCTGGATTATCTCTGCCTTATTTTTGTCCTAACCTGCTCACTATTCCCTCCCTCTGTTCTTCTGTGGGAATAGGAAAGTGGGAGGGCTAGTATGCCCACATACACACTTCCACTTGTGCCTCTGTCAGATCTTTGCCCATCTAGTCTAGAGCTCTAAACTTCTCAGGGCTTCCAGGCTATACTTGGTTAACACCAGGACTTCGTTTCATGTAGATCTTTCTGTCTCCCCCTACCATATTTCATACTTACTCACTGTTTCTCAAGTGGGTGCTGGAACTAGAGTACACAAAGGAGCCAACATGCCAGAATATATCAGTGGTGTAACCTGGGTTGGATTCTAGGGTATCAAGAATAAGCAGAAACATCCAAGGAAGTCAGTCACCATAGAATAGAGCTATCTCAGCTGTACATGACCTGTCTCTAAAAAAAAGTCTGATTATTTAACAAAGATTTGGGAAGGCTAAATTGATAAGCAGGAATACAAAGCCAATGATTGGCCACTTCTGCCTTTGTACACAGTTTTTCATTATAAACATTGTCTCATTAGGTTTAAGAAATACAAGCAAGCTGGGAGCCATTCCAATTCTTTCCGCTTATCAAATGGCCGCACCGAGGATGTGGGTAAGGCAGGGGGGACCTTCAAAGGAAAATCCAAGAAATTAAGTGTTTCTCCATCATTTTATTTATTTATTTATTTGGGGGGTCCAGTCGTGGGGCCAGAACTCTGGGCCTGGGCACTGTCCCTCAGCTCTTCAGCTCAAGACTAGCACTCTACCACTTGAGCCACAGCACCACTTCTGGCTTTTTTTCTTTTTGCTTATGTGGTACTGGGGAATCGAACCCAGGGCCTCAGGCATGCAAGGCAAGCGCTCTACCACTGAGCCACCTTCCCAGCCCTCTCCATCCTTTTAAAAGAGTAAAACTATTAGTCTCCAGAAAAAAGCTGGCTCCCCAGGGTACCTCACTGACCTTCCCCTTTGTTTCTACAGAGCCCCAAAGTGTGCCACTTCTGGCCAGGTCCCCAAGCACCAACAGGAAGTACCCACCTCTGCCTGTGGACAAACTGGAAGAAGAGATTAACCGAAGAATGGCTGATGACAATAAGCTCTTCAGAGAAGAATTCAACGTGAGTTCATTGTTGAGGCTGGTGTGGCATCAGGGAGAAAGGCAGACCTCAGGTCAGGCCTTTTCACTCAGAAGTAAAAAATAGGTTTTTAATGGTTAATAGAGAAATTTTCTACCAGGTTTTTCTCACTCCCTTCCTGTTTGATCATAGACAGAAATATTTAAAAAGATTTACTTCATCTGCCTCACGTTCCCATCCATTTGTTAATCCATCCATCATCATATCTGTTACTTCATTTGTCTAATAAATACCAAGCATCTAATGCGTACCAGGTAACATTCCAAATGACAGAGATATAGTAGCCAGTCTACTCTGAAGGAATTCACTGCCACTAGGGAATGAAGGAATTCACTGCCACTAGGGAAACCTTAGTATAAGAATAGAAATAATTAATTGAAACAACAGTCTGGACATGAAAGACTGGGCATAGTTGAAGGGTCACATATTTTTTTAATGGTATTATTTAACTTCAGCTTGTGCTTGCTTAGCTTACTTACTCAGCTGGTGCTCTACCACTTGAACCATACCGCCAACCTTGCTTTTTGGTGATTATTTCCATAATGGAGTCTCAAAGAATTTTCTGCCCAAGCCAGCTTCAAACAGCAATCCTCTGGATTCCAACTTCTTTTTTGGTGGTGGTGGTGGTGGTGGTCGTGAGGCTTGAACTCTGGGCCTGGGCACTGTCCCTCAGCTCTTCAGCTCAAGGCTAGCGCTCTACCACTTGAGCCACAGCACCACTTCCTGTTTTGTGAGTCGTTTATTGCAGATAAGAATCTCATGGACTTTCCTGCCCTGGCTGGCTTTGAATCACAATCCTCAGATCTCAGCCTCCTAAGTTGCTAGGATTATACCAATGTCCATCGAGAGACCTTTTAGAGTCTAGAACAGGAGACTCCATGTGTCCACAGTAAATAGGAGTGAATCAGTGTGGACTAGGTCAGTCAAAGAACACAGGCCTCATCTTGAATCTTGAATATTGAGATTCATATTTTTGTAACTCTCCAAAAAGCATAACATGGAAGTAGTGCTATGGCTCAAGTGGTAGAACTCTAGCCTTGAGCAGAGGAGCTGAGGAGCAGCGCACAGGCCCAGAGTTCAAGCCCCACGACCAACAAAATAAATAAATAAATAACAGAAAGCATATCATGTAAACCACCAGTTGGTAATCCCAACCCACCAGCTCAAAAGAAATTCCTTGAAGAAGCAGCAGGAGTGGCAGGAAAATAGAACTCGGGAACATTCCAAGATCTGAAACTAGCAGGAACAAATTATTAGGAGTGAAGAAAGCCACACTGAGAAAATTAATGAAGGACTCTGAGTAGCCTCAGAGAGGAGGTCAAGAGAGTTGTGAAAAATAAAACTAAGAGAAGGCTAGGCTGGGGTAATATTCCAAAAAGAAATTAATTATTTACCTGACTTAAGTAAATACAATCCCTGTGTACATCACCTTTGTAATAACAATAAAAAATTTAAACATAAAAACTGCTAGACCAGTGGGGAGGGGGGAGGCTGGGAAGGGATGTGAAGGGTAAACCAAAGGAGGAGGCTGCAATGCTTGGTAAGAAATGTACGCATTATCCTGCCCATGTAATTGTAACCCCTCTGTACAGTATGTTCACAAATAAAATTAAATTAAATTAAAAAAAAAAAAAAAAACGCTAGACCAGACCATTGATCTCAGAGATTGTCTTGAAAGAATTAGAAAGCCATGAACTAAGTAGATTTATATTTTGAAAAGATGATTCTGGCTGCTGTATGGTAATAGCCCATGGAAGGCCAGAATAGTTGCAGGACATACAGGGCTTACTGCAGTTGTTAGATCAAAAAAAGCTGGTATACTTAATGGTTAAGGAGAGGGAAGTAGCTTGAAGGACAGAGAACAGTTCCACAGTTGACCCATTCATCGACTAGATCATTGCTAAAGTGTAAGCTTCCTTCATACCTTTCTGATGTGCCATAGGTCAGCTTTGTCTTGTGGAGTAGCCTTTTCATGATGCTGCCTTGATTTGAATCATCACATGGAGATAAAATGAAGTACAGTAAGGAAACATGACTGTTTCTTTTACCAATGAGGAGCAGTTTCCCAGAAGCTTCTGGAACCTTTCCTTGTCACATACTTGTTCTTAAACCAATCATGTACAAGGGAGATATAAGGTTATTGCAGCTGAATAAGACCAATCCATATTATTCCTAGGTCTTAGCCAGTGATCCCACAGAATGGAAACTCCGGGCGGAAAGTGGGAAGGAGGAATAGTTAATTGGATAGGCATATCAGATCTACCATGGAAGAGCTTAAAAAACCACTGTCTTGGGCTGGGAATGTGGCTTAGTGAGTGCTTGCCTAGCATGCATGAAACCCTGAGTTTGATTCCACAGTACCACATACACAGAAAAAGCCAGAAGTGGCTCTGTGGCTCAAGTGGTAGAGTGCTAGCCTTGAGCAAAAGAAGTTTTCAAGGACAATGCCTAGGCCCAGATTTCATGCCCCAGGACTGGCAAAAAAAAACAAAAAACACTGTCTTCAATATAAAGAAAAATAGGAGAGCTGGGTACTACTGGCTCACACCTGTAAACCTAGCAATTTAGGAGGCTGAAATCTAAAGATTATGGTTCAAAGCCAGCCTGGGCAGGAAAGTCAATGAGACTCTTACTTCCAATAAACTACTCAAAGAAAGCGGGGAGTGGCACTGTGGCTCCAAGTGGTAGAGCACAAGCCTTGAGCCAAAGAGGCTCAGGGATAGCACCCAGGCCCAGAATTCAAGCCCCAGGACTTTGGGGTGGAGTGGAGGGTGGGCGGTGGGGAGATATAGAAAGGAGGCAAGAGACCATTACAAGGCAAGATGTAAGAGTGAATGGAATACCTTGTAGCTTTCTCTTTATTTTTTAAACTATTGAAGAAACCACACCATCTAATATTCCTTATTGATTGAGAACATTTACCTCATTTGGTAGGACAGCACCCAGCCTCAGCACCACAGCTGGATTTGGTAGACATGGTATTATTTAGTTATCTGTAATATCACTTGCTCTAGGTAATGAGATATGTGATCCTGTTGTCATATTTTTCTGTGAAATGAACTTTTTGTAGTTAATATTTCCTGATATCTCATGATAAAGCATTCCAATAAATCCTTGGAGAATAGAGCATTCCTAGAAGTACAATAGAGAAATTGAGGTAGATTATAATGATAAACATTTGCTATGATAGCCATGGCTATTCATATTCATGAGCTCTTCAGGCTAGCACTGGGATAACAGGAAAAGAGTGACCAGCATTGCCTGGATTCTTGGCAGTGAGTGCTATCTGGTAAATATTCACATGGAGCCTAAGTGTTTCTCTCTCTTTTGTTCCCATTACTCACTACTGACCTCCAGTAAGATAGATAGTATGAGGACTTGCTTGAAGTTCTGTTTACTGAGATTTCAGACCCATCATTTAGGTACTTAGCACTATATGGGTCTTCTTTCTGCATTGGCCAGACTGTCGCACAGAGCTATTTGTATACCATGCTAGACTTTTTACTTCTTTAGATGTTGACATCAACAGGAAATTGGAATTTTTTTTTTTTTATCAGTCGTGGGGCTTGAACTCTGGACTTGGGCACTGTTCTTGCACTCTTCAGCTCAACGCGAGCGCTCTACCACTTGAGCCACAGAGCCACTTCTGGTTTTCTAGTGGTTTATTGTAGATAAGAGTCTCACAGACTTTCCTGCCCGGGCTTGCTTTGAACCACGGGCTGGGATTATAGATGTGAGCCACCGGCCAGCTAGTTGGAAATAATTTATTGAGGGAGTGAGTGGGATATGGGGCTGATGTCTCTCCACACCACTTCTATCTTTGGTAAGATTCTGGTTTGTAGTTTATTAGATTTTTTTTGTAAGCCCCTTTCTGTCTTGGGGCTTGAACTCAGGGCCCGAGCACTGTCCCTGAGCTTTTTCAAAAGCTCAAGGCTAGCACTCTACCACTTTGAGCCATAACATCACTTCCAGTTTTCTGGTGGTTAATTGGAGGTAGGGGTCTCATGGACTTTCCTGTCCAGGCTGGCTTTGAATCGTGATCCTCAGATCTCAGCCTCCTGAGTAGCTGGGATTACAGGCATGAGCCACTGGCACGCAGTTAGATCAGTTTTGATACCTAGCTTATGATGGGGAATTGAAGTCACCTTAATGCCTAGTGTCCCAATCTGTACTGTAAAGCCCACTTCTAAGCTAGGATCCTGATCTTGCTAATGATCTTGAGCTTGTTACCTTATCTTGAGGTTTTTCATTACAATTCTTCTATTCAGCCTTATCATGGGCATTTTAGGGTCTCACCAAGTCTACCAAAGCTAATTCCTCTCTGGCCCAGACAGCTGGAGAATTTGCTATTTTCAGATTATTCAATAAATACAGCAGGATACCTGCATGTGATATATTGTCTCCAAACTCCAAATTTTGGCTCAGTAAGCATTGCTCCTTCTCTTTAATGAGGAAATAAAAGTAGAGCAAGGAGTAGCAACTAGTCTTCTAAGTTGGAGGAGATATACTGACATGCTGAAAGCTGTTGACCTTCAGACAACTCAGCTGAGGTGACAAGCCACAGCTTTTTTTTTTTTTTTTTTTTTGGGGGGGGTGTCCGGTCTTGGGGCCTGAACTCTGGGCCTGGGCGCTGTCCTTCAGCTCTTCAGCTCAAAGCGAGCGCTCTACCACTAGAGCCACAGCACCACTTCTGGCTTTTTCTGTTTATGTGGTGCTGAGGAATCATGGCCTCATGCATGCAAGGCAAGCACTCTACCACTGATCCACCTTCCCAGCCCCAAGCCACAGCTTTTTAATCTTTGTTTTTTTCATTCTCTGTCATATATCCAAGTTACGTAACTTTCTGCTTGTCAGGTTCTGTTGGCTTAATGTTATCAGCCTGATTGTCAGAATAATGTCAGAGGGTAAGGTCCTGTGAACCAATAAGACAAAGTCCTCATGAACTGGATCACAGCATAGATAGGTCAGGATTATTTATACTG